GGTGGGGAACGGTCTATGTCTGTACAGACATAACCACATTCAGTGAGTGAACCTTGATTGAACACTAGTTTGAAAATATTTGATTAGTGGGTCTTTGGCCACCCTTTAAACAGGTCTAGTTTGGTTGATATACTGATCGACTGAGATGGGCATCTTACTATGTTGCCTAGACCGACCCCCACCTTCTGGGCTCAAGCGACCTCCAGCCTCAGCCACCCGAGGACCACGCCTGGCTACCTCCTTAAACTGCATCCCAAGGAGGGCCTCACTGTGTCCTCCTGGCCACTCCTGGAAAGAACACCCGGGACAGGATAAGCCACGGGCAAGGGCCTTGTGTGCTGGCAGGGGAGTAGGGGACAGTAGTCAGCGAGCGTGCAGAAGAAGCCCAGGAGGATGTGTAGGAGTTCTGCTGGTCAGAGATAGCCAAGAAGGAAGTCAGTGTGCAAGGGAGGCCTTTTTCCTTCTGCAGCAGAAAGAACAGCACGGGCAAGGGCATCAGCAGTGCAGCCTTGCAGTCTGCACAGGTATGCAGGCCGGTCGATCTGAGAGCAGGACGTGCAGTAGGCAGCACAGGAGAAAAAGCTGGAAGGACAGGCTTAGACCCTTTCATGCACAGCCTCTGTTTTCCTTCAGGAGCCAAGGGGAACCACTGAAAACCTTTCATCTTTTATCCTTTTGGTTTATAAAGTGCATTTTCAAATGTTCTCTTAAGCTATTTTCAAGTACTTTCAGGAAAGAAGTTTGATATTTAAAATGTATTACTATTGCTAGTGTTTAAGATCTGTGCCTCAGCCAAGCAAGGCGGTGCATGCCTGTAATCTCAGCACTCTGGGAGGCTGAGGCAGGAGGATCACAAGTTTAAGCCCAGCCTGGGCAAATTAGTAAGTTAGGGAGACCCTGTCTCAAATTTTAAAAAGGGAAGTTGGTAGTGGCTGGGGATATAGCTCAGTGCAAAGTCCTGGGTTCAATTTCCCAATGCCACAAAAAAAAGATCAGTATTTTTGACTTTATAAAATTAAAGCCACAATGAGATACCACTAAACCTGCAGATGAATGAGTAATATTAAAAAGAATTACCATATCAAGTGTTAGTGAGGGTATGAAATGTGACTATGATGCTGAATTGTCAGCTTGACTGGCGTGTGAGCCTAGAGAAGGAGTAAAGCACACTTCTGGGTGTGTCTGAGTGGACCACAGACACATGGCCTTGGAGACCACATTTGGTCCCTGGCCCCTACCTCTCTGGCTCTGTTCCCCTGCTCTGCTTTCTGGCTGCCATGCATTAAGCAGTTTTGCTCCTCCAAGCCCTTTTGCAAAGGTGTTTCTGCCTTGAAGCCAGCTGATTATGAACTGAACCCTCTGAAACTGTAAGCCAATAAACCTCACCTCCTTTTAGTTGTGTGTGTCAGGTATTTTGTCCCAGCAATGGGAAAGCTGACCAATACATAAAGTAACTGTAATGTTCACCTACTGCTAGTAAGAATGAACAGTGAAATGATGCTTTGCAAAACAGTTGAACCATTTTCTTAAAAAATTAAACATATACCTGCCAGATAACTCAGCCATTCAACTTTCAGATATTTACCCAAGAGAAATGGAAGCAAATATCCAAACAAAAAGTTGTCCACAAATATTCACAGTAGCTGTGTTAGTAATAGTCCGAAACTGGAAGCAACTTAAATATCCATCAACAGATGAATAGAGAAACAAATTGTGGTATATCCACACAATAGAACTCAGCAATGTAAAAGGACAAATTGTTGACATAAGTGGGGGAGAAAGTTCCTCAAAATAATTATGCTATGTGAAAGATGCTAGACGAAAAAAAGAGTTGTTTGATTTGTTCCCCTTTATGTTAGTGTTTAACCTATACCTCTATGGTTTGGAAGCTAGGTCTGAAGACTTGATTGCTTTTGGCAAGAAAATACATTCTTCATAGGTCATGCAGTGTACGTTATATTGCATCACAGGAGGAAGTAAATAGGCTCTTCACTGTGTGATGCTAAATTTGATCATTTGGTTAAGGGAGTAATTGTCAGATCTCTCCTTGATGCAGGCTTTTTTCCCTCTCCCTCTTGCAATTAGTGAGTAATCTGTAGGTTACACATCAGCCAGGAGTGAATGTTTTCTTTGCCTCCTTCTCCTGACAGTTTTAGCATCCACTAACAATCCTTGCCTAAACTGATTATTTCATTGGTTTTTTAAAATTCATTTTAAAATTCTTTCATTCTTCTCACTGACTTAGCTGTTTTCTTCTTAGTGAACAGAGACTAAAATGTTTTTATTTTTTGGATTTTTTTTTTTTTTTTAGCTTCTTGAGACAGGGTTTTGGTGTGTAGTTCAGGCTGGCCTTGAACTTGCTATTTATCCCAGGCTAGTCTTGAACTAGCAGTGATTCTCCTGTTCCAGCCTTCCAAGTGCTGGGACAACATGCATGTGCCTCCATGCCTGGCATACCAAAAGGCTTTTGAATGAAACAGCTTTCCATGTTGGATTCCCTTGATAAACCCACATTCACCCTTCATGTCTGCTCAATGCACCCCTGTTCCCCTCCTGCCCCTCTTTTCTGACTCCTAACCACAGAGGCTGTTTTCCAACCATATTGCACATCACTTTTGGGTCCATACCATGTTTAGGCATCATTCTAGGCATGGGAGTACAGCAGTGAATAAACTGGATGAAGTCCCTGAGTCTGAGTCAGAATATTCTGGAGCCTTTCCCTTTGCTAGGGGAAAGCAGACTCCAATTACCTGGAGACTGCAAAGGCCCCACCTAGGGTAGATGCCTTACAAGGTGATGCTTGTCTTTATTTCCCAGTTCTTTCTTCAATGCTTCTAGACCAATAATGAGAAGTCTCATGATGAATGAAGCAGGGAAATAGAGTTATGCGAAGGAAGGGTTTATTCACCAAAACCCAGGATGAACCTGGCATAGTCTCACCAGTAACAAAGAGATGTGCCTGGAGATGAACCTTAAGATTGCGGGATCAAGGAGGGCAGAACACAAGACTCCATGGGGTAGAGTATGTCAAAACAGGTGTAGTATCCAGTACTCAGGACTTAATATCTTTGCAGAATGCCTAGATCTGTGCCCAGCATGGTGGACAGGGCTCCTTGAAACTTGAAAATAATGATGAGGTGGAGATGCTGGATTTCTAGAAGAGAGAAGAAGGGAGTCAAAATTTCAAACAGGTTAGATAGAAGTAAGTATGCATTTAGTATGGAATACTAGAGAACCCTCCAGCTAACACTTCTTTGGTAGGGCCCAGAGTATGCTCCCCTTGTTAAAGTGATAAGGGATGCGCTAGAACATTCTGGGCAGCTCTAGACCAAGCCTGACTGTGGGAGATTCCCCAGTGTCAATGGGAGTAGCAAGGCTCTAGAGGCCAGGTTGGCAGCATTAGACCACCTGAGGCAATAGGGTACTGATATGGTTATAATGTGTCAGACTGAATAAATCCTAGGGGCCAAGGTGAGGCAGGGAAAGGTGAGCCCCAGTAGAGCACATCAATCATTGAGATTCTTCAAACATACACAAAGAAGGGGTGTGTGTGTGTGTGTGTGTGTGTGCATGCGCGCGTGCGCCTGTGTGTGGGGGTAAGCACAAAAGCAGAATAATGGCTACTTGTGGGAGGAAGAGGGAAGAGAGCGGGCATAAACAGAGATGTGTAAAGGGACTTCTGCGGTATCAGTAATAGCCTCTTTCTCGAGGCACCTATGAGCACATAGATGTTCATTTTATTTGTATTGTTATTTTCCAGGCCTGTAAGTTATAGTTTTTTGAATGTACATAATATTTAACAAAAATAACTTAAAGAAATAGGCCCTGACCATAATTTCTCATTGGTCGTGACTTAATAGATAATCGTGAAAGGAACATGGATTTGGGGCTTTGGCATCAAATAGATCCAAATTCAAGTCTCTTATTGGCTGAACAACTTAGGGCATTACTGAGTTTCTGAAAAGTCTCACCAGGGAAATGGAGTTGGCAATATCTATCCAGCAGGGTAGTAGTAAATAGTAAATGAGACAATTTACACAAATCTTCTAGTCAGTGCCTGGCAATATCACCGGCTTATGGAACAATAGTTACTATTCTATAACTTTGCCCAAGCCTCCCAGTTTCTCCCTTTTAGAAATTTTCCATCTTTTTCATTTGACTTCATTCGAATTATTTCCTGCATGCAAAACATTATGCAGGTGAGCTGTGCTTTAATTTCCTGTACATTTTGAGTTAATTTTCAAAATCTGACCCTTAATTATCTCATCTGACCCTTAGTTTCAATTCTTGGTTTCTAACAGTTTGGAACACGGAAGGAGATCAACATATGTCAGCAAATAAGTGAATGTACTAGGCAAGTGCTATGGGCTGAACTATCATCCCCCAAATTCGTATGTTTAAATCTTAATGCCAGTAGCTCAGAATCTAACTGTATTTGAAGATAAGGTCTTAGAAGGAGTGATTACGTTGAAATGAGGCCATTAGGGTGGAGCTCTACCCCAATATGACTGATGCCTTTATGAAGAGGAAGTGACAGCAGGAATGCACACACAAAGAAAAACACAGGGTGAAGGCAGCCATCTGCAAGTGGGGAGAGGCCTCAGGAGAAACCCAACCTGCCAGCACCTTGATCTTGGACTTCCAGCCTCCAGGACTGCAAGAAAATAAACTTCTATTGTTTAAACCATCCCATCTGTGTGTTTGTTATGGCAGTCCTAGCAGACTAATACAGTAAGGCAACTGAAATTATGCCCAGTTTATAAACGTGGAAACTGAGGCTCAAGGGTTAAGACTTACACAGAGTCACATAAGCAGTAAATGGGCAGAGTTGGTGCTCAAATCGAGATGCCAAATTGTGGTTCTTTCCACTGCTGTCTGCTTCTCTTAAAGTTGTGCTACATGAAGGTGTATCAGTCGGTGCAAACTTAATTTTAAAATTAAATTCTTATTTTTATCAAAGAAATGTAAGTGTTTGTAAAGAAACACAAGAGTCACTTGCCTTCCCTTCTCATCTGGTGGCCTCCTTAGATGCAGCCAAGCTGAGCTCTTGCATTTCCTCAGAGATAGCATGCGCATATGGATGGGTCATAGTCCTCCAGATCAGGACATCATCTATTAATTTCCTAGCATTAAAGATGAGCTTTTAATGATTTTAAAATACACACTTAACCCTCTCACTCCTTTTCTTTTAATATACTTGTATCGCCATCATTTATATGCTTTTTTCTTCAATATTGTCTTAGTTTTCTCGAGGTTAATTTTCTTTTCACTTTTGTATTAGATCCCCCCCCCCCCAATATCGGGTGATCCTTAGCTATCCATTCACATTTAAGAGAAAGCCTGTTTTTTTTCCCCTTAATTTGCACAGAGGCAGCTGGTGACGGATTTCTGACATTTCTGCGGTTCCATGTCACAGATTGGTGTGCTATTGCTGGGCCCTGTTGCAGGAGTGTAGACCACAGCTTCATTTTCTCTAAGTCAGTTAGTTACTTTGTCCATCCACTTTTTATTCCCTAGAATTTCCTGACATCTGTGCTGTCATCACTTCTCTTGTTCTCTTTGCACCTTTTAAAAATTCCTCTGTTGTTACCTTAGGGAGTTTTGGGAGGAAGTAGAAGCACACAGATTTCTAACCAGGAGTCTACCTTTCTAATTTTGACTCCTGTTAAAGTTTTTTTATTAGTCAATAAATAGTGGTTAGTATCAGTTTAATGCAAATGAATAAAAACATCCCCAGGTAACGATTTTTGCAGTTACCTCTGTCAAAGTCTCTCTTATACTGAAAACCTCAGCTTGCATTAATAACATTAAGAGTAATATGATAGTTCACACCTAGGTGAACTAGGTCTGGTTTTGAGTTCCACCTGGGATGGGGTGCCAGATCCCGAGTGGGGCGTGGCCGGCTTCTGCATGGGGGATGAGCTGGGGGCAGGGAGGGGAGAAGACCTGTACAGAGGGGTGCCCTAGCACGGGAGGCCAGGCACCAGGCAAGCTGCAGAGGGCTTGCTCATAGAGTGATATTAGCACCAGTATTGCCACGTACACATGGAAATGTATTTGTGGGTGTGTGTTCCTGAGCTTGGCCCCTAGCTTGAGAGAATGTGAGAGCTGGGAACTCAAACTAACCTGCAGACCACTCAGACCCTAGCATTTAAATACCACTCACCACTGGAAAGGAATCCAGGCGCCTTGGTTGGGTGCCAGATTTGGCAAAAAAAAAAAAAAAAAAAAAAAAAAAAGGCAAAAAATAGCAGGCCAGTAATTATCGATGGGATGTACCTGTACCAAACATTCATTCATTATTCACCTGAAATTCAAACTGAACTGATGATCTGAGTTTTATTTGGCAATTCTACTTCTTGGAGAAATGACTGATTCTACTACTGGGGCAAGGAAAATACAAGATGAACTTGGAACATTTTGTTGTGCTAGAAAGAAAATATTCAAAAAATAATGGGACAAAGTGACATAGAAGCCAACTTAAAGGGGCTCCACTAGTCAGATATGGGACAATATAAGCATCAAAGTAAATAAATAATAATACTAACAGATCGTAATCCATTGGACAAAAGAGGAAACCATGAACCCATACTGATAAAAACAAAATAATAAAATGAATTTGGATGAATGGAATATTTATCTGGATTTAAAGTGTTTCCTCACAAAATACTTATTAATTCCTCCTGGAAAAAACAGCAACTTCATTTTGGAATTACTTTATTGTGAAGCCTGGCAGACCCCATTTTGACCGAGTGGTGAAAAATGAAAGTCCTCGATAATAGGGTGAATCACCTGAAATCGAGGGTCACAGTACGAACACAGTGCCATTTTGGTGGTGTTCCAGCACAAACACACTGAAGTTGTGAGGTGTCCGTGAAATAATTAGCTGTTATCTTCAAAAGTATTAATGTCATAAAGTAAAAGATTAAGGATATTTTTTCAGACAGGAGAATGCTAAAGAGATGTGACAATTAAATGTAGCATATTCAGAAGTGGGTCTCTTAGTTTTGCTCTAAGTGACATTACTGGAACAACTAATGAAATTTGACGGGGGTCTCAGGATTAGAAAGTGTGAATTATCAATATTAATTTCCTGATCCTGATGGTATTGTGATTATGTAGGAAAATATCCTATGTTCATCCTCTTAAGTATTTGGGGCTGATGGGTATCAGGTTAGCAACTCATTCCTAATGGTTCAAGATGAAGTTATTTGTATTGAATGTACAACTTTCCTGTAAGCTTCAGATTGTTCTAATATAAGTAAAAATAATGCTTACACTTGATTTTTAAAGGAAGCAATATTTAATCATTCTTACTCTACAGGGTTCTAAAAAGAGCTTCAAATGCCACAAATGAAATGTGTTTTGTGATTATCATGTAAGAGACTAAAAGACAACCATCTGAGGATTGCAAATTCACTTATTAAAAAATGCTCCTGAAATGAAATTTCTAATTTTTAAACCACAAGAAGTGCAAAAAGAGGCCTGTATTACTTATATCTATGTGCAAAGCATTGGAAGAAAACTGCTCTTTAGGACAAAAACCAAAGGTAGCTATTTTTGGGGCTTAGACCGTGGCATTTCATCTCTGAGGGAGATGATCCTTTTGTTTAAGGAAAAAAAAAATCTTCAAGCATATGTCAGAGATTGATAATTTTCTACCGCATATCTACTCTTCCTGCTTTTCTTTATTAACAGAATCCCAACCTTACTTTGGGCAACAATGCACAGCTAAAAGAACTCAGTCTTAGTTAGAGCTGGGCATGGCCTCAAGATACCACTCTATCAATGAGATCTAGACAGAAGTGTGATGAAAAGCAGGGACAGAAATCAATATGGGTGTGACTCTTGAAGATCAGCCTGTTTGCCACTTGTTAGGTAACAGGCTTGATAATAAAAGTCACCATGACATGGATCACAATAAGGATACCAAAGGAAGAGAAGCCTGGGCACCTGATGGCATTCTGAGCTGCTGCACCAGCCTTGGACTCCTTGGTTGCTGGCTTTTTATTAAGGGAAATATCTTTATGCCAGTTAGTTTTTTGTGATTTTTGTATCTCGGTATATTATTAACAAGTTAGATGCAAGTTTTAGGAGAGATGGAGATCCAGGAGAGTCAAATGCTTATTCAACAAAAGGAATCATGTGTTTAAGAAGACTGCTCTGGAGAGATATGAGGAGCATATGGGAGTAGTAAATATAGGGTGATCAGAAAAAGCTGTAATGATGGACACATACAGTAAGAAATTCTAAGGTTACAAGTGGCCAACAGTTTTAGGAAAATTATACCTGATATCATTAGTCAGCTTTCCTATTTCTGGGACAAACTACCTGAAACCCACAACTTAAAGGAGGAGAGTTTTCTTTTGGCTCACTGTTTCAGAGGTTTCAGTTGGTGGTTCGCTGGTTCCAAGGCAGAAACATCACAGTGGAAGAGCCTGGTGGAGCAAAGCTGCTCACTTCATGGTGGATGGGAAACAGCACAAGGAAAGAGCACCAGACAGAGAAGCACCCGCCAAAGGCCCCAGTGAGCCATGTCTTCCAACTGAGCCCTACCTCCTAACAGCGCATTCATCTATGAATGAGCATGCGAATGAGTACATCACCCCACAATTCGATCACCTCTCAGTGGTCTCATATTTCAGTCGAGTTGACATGATTCATCAGAATAGATGACTTTTTCCCCCAGTACCAATAAGTTACATTCCCAGCCCTTTTCAGTTTTTATTTGAGATAGGGTCTTGTTAAGTTGCCCAGGCTGGCCTCAAACTTGGTATCTTCCTGTCTCGGCTTTCTGAGTGATTAGGATTACAGGTCTGTGCCTCCATGCCTGGCTCTGATGTTGATTTTAAAGTTGCTTCCTGTGCTGTAAATTGGTTCTTACATTATATTAACCATTTTTAAACCTGTAAACCTAAACATCTTCTATGTAAAAGAGACTTCTGTTAATGAAATGAAAGAGTAGTAGAGTCCAGTTTTGGTCAAGGTTTTTAAATAGTTTGAGGATGCCATTCACTGTGTAGATGGCTGGTTTTGAATTTTTCACATGAATGTATTCATATAAGATGGTAGCCATGACTTTTGTTTTCTTTTCTCTAGGAGTTCTTTTATAGTTTGAATTGTAACTTACAACACGTGTTTACATAAAAATAGTATAACTAAAATGGGTAGCATTTTCATATCAGGTCACAAAAGCCCAGGTAACTCAACCTCACTAGACTAAAATACATAAGGACTTGATATTCTTTACAGTGTTTCTAAATTCAAACAATATTATATTAAAGTCAGCAACTTAACACAATGCAACTTTATAACTGACTGAGGTCAGGTAGCACTTCTTTAAGCAACAACAAAGGAATCTGATCTCTTCTGTCATGTGATCCACTATCTTCACATCCTTTGCTTCTAGCACTGTAGATGGGAGAAGTCACAAACTATTTCCTGGGGAGACTAGGATTAAGCCTGGAGTGACACACATTACTTTTACAGGCCAGACTAATCACATGGCCCTAAAACAAATGCAAGGGAGGATGGGAAACGTAGTTTTCCTATGTGGCCATGAAAAAGAGGAAGAAGGAATGTGGGGCCTTGTACCTACTTTGCAGGGTTTATTTGATGATTAAATTAAAGAAAAAAACACTGACAAATGTTATGTCCTTTCCTTCCTTTGGAATCAGCTAAAAACTGTACAGTAATGGTGGAGTAATGGCAGAAGTGGCAACAGTGGGTTGTGGTAGCACAAGCTCCCAGTGAAAGGAGACACTTAGAGGAAACTGGGTGCTGATTTTGGCAGAGCTCAGCTAAGGTTCTGGTGACCCAAAAGGTGGGTAGAGAACAAGAGAAGATAAAATTTAGGTAGTTAGGAAGTGCTCTTGAAAGCAGCCTTAGAAAGTAAGAACAATTCAAGGAGAGGAGAAAGAGGTAATAAAGGGTTTGGCTGGAAGAAATATCAAAATCTTCATCTATCATGGTGGGGCAGAGGTTGAAGGAAGCAGTATCTAAGAAAATGCACAGGTTTCCTTCAACATAGTGAACACCGCTCAGTGACTTAGTGATTCTCCTCAAATAGTAAAGCTGTGTTAAGCTCTGTATCACAAGTGAATAAAAAACTACTGAAGGAAAT